ATACAAGCACATAACACATGCAAGAATCACGAAAACATCTAGCATCCTATCATAACAAACCATGGGCCGACATTGGTGCCTTCAACCCGCTAAACACAGTGAGGAACCTCACCTCTAGCTACCGAATCACTCAAATTAATCTCTGTCAGCTGGTCTGAAAAATTCCCACGCTATCATCATCAAAATAACATCCAATTATTAATTGGATCTCGACCCATAACCAAGAGTCTTAGCTACTTATAGACCAGGAAATGGGGAGAATTTGGGGCGAATCGACCTTGAGTCAAACCCGTTTAACAAATTTCAAAATCCGATCCAAACCCGCTCTATAACCCATAGGTTTTTGAATAATCAAACCCATGCCCTTATCCACCAAGTCAATAGATATCCAAACCCGCCCTGTAACCCATAGGTTTTTTTGAATAGTTTATTTAGGAAACACATTACGTACTTGAGGACTTTCGATTGGAATTAAAATCACTATTGTATTAACTTTTGATTGATTTATGATTGTCAAATGCAGTGATAGAAAATAGTAATTACAAACTTTCTTCCGGTTGATAAATGAATTTATTGATTTATAAATGAAATTAATGATTGCTTGATGAAATATTAATAAAGTGATACCATGATTCTTGGTAGAAGACTAGAAGTTAACTCTTCGATTCCTACGTAAAAATAGTTTGGTCTTTGGTTTTTCCCTTTGGACTTTCGATTGGAATTAAAATTAAATATTAGACATGATAAAATATAAACGTATAATTCTAAAACTTATACGGGGCGGGTTACAAATGGATCGGATCGGTGATGATCCATACCCGACCCTTTGAATAAAAGGGTTAGTGGGTATGGGTCATTAACGGGTAAACGAATCAAAAACCGTGCTCCAAACCTATAAAATTCTTAAGCATTTGGATCGGATCAGGGTCAAAACCCGCTCTATTGTCAGGCCTCACTACTTACCCATAACCAGGGTAAAAGACCATTGTACCCTTTATCTGACTTGGCTGAAAGCCAAGGCCCAACAAAACTACTCGAAAGGCCCAAATCCTAAATGGCACCCCAAGCCCAATTTATGGCCCAAATCTTCCAAATTGGGCCCAAAACCCATCATGGGCCTAAACCCAAGGAAGCCCAACATACTAGTCCAAAGTCCAAAATAGAAGTCTAATGAACCAACAAGGCGCAAACTTACAAACTCAAACTATGGCCCAATATCGAAGATTGTCGAGCCCAAAAGCCCATCTGCTGAGTACGCGGGGCGTACTCAGCTCGTACACCCAATGTACTCCCCTGATCACTAATCTTCTTCATTAAGCACTTAAACAGTTAAGACATTTTTCCAAACTCTCAGATCTGGTTCCTAAGGGTGACTTATCACATAAAGTTGGCAACTTTACACTCATGCATGGCTTAATGGGACTCAAATCTCAAAAAGAGCTTAATAAAGGTCCTAATACTTGCATGAACGAAAAACATCCATAAAGTTTGCATTTTTATGAACATAGGGCCTAAATGGAGCTTAGATCTAGCATCCATTGCTTCTGGAGTAGATCAAAAGCTCATCTTTACTTCAAAAGACTCAAAAATGCCCAAGAAACACCATAAAGTAGATCTAACACAAATGATCATCAAGGTGTGACCTTTTTACCTCAAAAGATTTCAAATGAGAATGTGTTCCTGGATCTACAAGCCCAAGCTATACCTCCAAGTGTTCCTCTTCTTTTTCATCACCATAAAACACCAACAAATCACTCTCAAGCTTAAAAACTCACCAAATGCTCTTAGGGTTTCGTTTTCAGGGTAAGGGAAGATGGAGTCTGATCAAAAGTGTCCAAAAGATGTTATAATGAGGTTTAAATAGGGTGAAAACCCTAAAAATTAGGGTTTTCCCCTGTACTACGTACGCCATGCGTACTCCACGTATGCCCAACGTACGTGGGTGAAACCCACGATCATCAAATGGGCTAGTACGCTAAGCATACTCATAGAGTACGCCCCGCGTACTAACTAGGGGACCAAAATGTTAACAGTTTTTGCATTAAGGGCTAAAAGAGAAACTTATCAAAAGTTGAATGTTACAATCGACATGCAATTTTTTTTCCTGATTTATGATTCAAATGTTGCTGAAATCGATTTTATAGCCCTCTGAATCATCGACATGTCTTTTCTTTTTACATATCCTAAAATTGATTGAAGTTCTTTCTTATTTGTTGAAATCGATTGAAGTTTGTTGAAATTGATTGATTATGCATTGTTTTGATTTTTTTTTATTATGGTTAGTTTTTGTGTTTAGATTGTATTGATTCACAGTTAGCTTCTTTTTCCTTCCATTTGTTCCAAAAAAGAAAGAAATCAGTTTGACTACATTTAATTTATATCATCCACTAAAGAAAACGGCTAGTATTAATTGAGTAGTTAGTCACAGGTCATGCTTTGGTTCCTTTCGGAATTGAGGAGTTTGTATTGGTAATATTAGTATTAGGGATCACAGAGTGTTGATGAATCATTTTTGTTTTCTGATGAATTGTTTTTCATCGTTTGAAGTTCTTAGCTTAAGCATAAGGGCAGGTTCTATAACATGTATTGGAACTTAGGGATTGAAATGGTATTGGTGGCAAATCAATGGAAAAGTTATAGACAAGGTCAAATTAAATTAATCCTAACGGGAGACTGTGAAATGGAATGAAATCTGCAATTCAAATTGATCTTCTTGGACGATTTTATCCTTGCTGATATCACCCCCTTCTTATTGAAAATGCTATGAGATCTTGACAATACTTATGTGTTGGAATTAATTGTGGAATGGATATTGGTTTTTTTTTACTTCAATAGCCCATGCTTTGGACAAATTTACCCTCAAGGAAGAAGCAGTTGTTCGTGTGGGGGAAGATGTTCACTTAATGCACAACAATGAATGAATGGGGAAGATAAATGAATAATTTGTTGATGTTTTGACCTTATTATGTATTGGCGATTTTGTTTTCCTTTTTTCTTTTTTTTAATATATTTATTAATTAATGAATAACTTAATGTTGGTTGTTTAGCTTTTGTCAAATCTTAAACTCCACTTTGAAGTTTCTGGTGAAATTTTCCAATTTATATGATAATCTATGGGATGCGATCTTAAAATAAAAGTTGTTTAAAACCGCAAGATTATTGCAAAATGGCCAATTCAGTGAAAAATGAAATGTGAAGTCTTTTAATGAAAAAATAGAGTTAAGATTTAATCTCGTTTATTTTAAATAAAGTGTTTTTTTATGAAATTTAATGTATTTATAATTGTAGAAAAGTGTTTTTGTACTTAGCCAAAAGAAGTATTAAAGTTTCAGTTTATTGCAACAATTTGTAGATATTAAAAAACAAACTGATTTTTATTACTGCAGCCTTTTAGTTCGCCTCTTCTGCCGCAGAGCGTTAAAGATGTGGTCCGCAACAAACTTCAAACGTTTTTGCTTCGAAAAAACAAACAACATCTTAGTATAGAATAGCATTGTCCATACACATCCACACAATAGATGTCATCCAAATTTTAATCTATATATATATATATATATATATATATATATATATATATATATATATATATATATATATATAAAAGATAAACGAACAAACATTAGCAAAACGTTCATAAACATAAATGAAAGACCGAGACTAATGTTTGTGTTTGTTCGTTTAACTAAAACGATAAAAAATCTTATTTATGTTCGTTTATTTATTAAATAAACAAATATAAACAAACATCCCAATAAATGGTTTGTTAAATGTATAGTTTGTTTACAATCATAGTTATAAATAAGTTATAATTAAGTTATAATGAAATAGCTTATTAAAAATTAATTACTTAAGTCAATAGATGTCTTTTTTTTTTTTTTTATCATCAAAACAATTGAAAATATTTATTAACGCCAAAATCGTTTAAATTATTAAGTTATTTTGAATAGTAAATCATAACACCCCAAAATATATAACTAATGCATCACCTTCTTTTTCAATGCTTTACTTTTTTAGTTAATTCATATGTCATATTTGTCATGTTAGTTCATATTTGAAACGAATTTGTTTTCTCGGGTTGATATAACTTTTAACCGATTATAAAAACAGAAACTAATCATGGCAGTGTTTTCCTTTGCATGGTGGGTTTTAGTAAATACAACAGTGGTTTGACCCACCCAGAAACCAATCAAGTGGATTTTAGACCCACCCAGAATTTACGCCACTAAACCTCTTTTTTCATCATTTGTGTCTAATTAAGTTTTGAAATTTAATAATTATAAGCTTGAAATTTCAGTTCTAATTAATTTAATAATTAAACATAATAATACGATAATGAGGACAGCAAACACATGTATAATTGGATCGAAAATGTATCTTAAGATATTTTAATAATTATTTAACAATGAAAAATATTGATTGAATTAAAGACGATGTGCCATATAAGTCTATAAAACCATAAATATCCCATCTTCAAACCTAAACTCTCATCCTTCGTCTTCACTTGATTGATAAACAACACCTCATGAGAGTTGGGCCACCATCAATCAAGACTTAATAATTGACTAGTCAAAGTTCCATGGATCCTATGTGGGGTGTTCTTCATGGCCCCCACATGGTTATAATCAACAAAGATGTACACGATATATTATCTGAATAGAATTAAGTTCATAAAACTTTTATTGGCCAATAAAATTGATTGATTTAACATTTTGAATATTAAGGAAACAAAACTTTAATCGATAAATTAGTTATTATTTGATCAACCGATTATGTGGGTTGTCATAAATGAACAATTTAGTAAATATATTTATTTTGGATTATAAAAATGGTGATAGCTGCGTTTCATTCTTTTTCGGAATGGTCGGGCAAAGAAAGCTTAAAGAAGCATCCCACCGACGACAACCACCTTTCACTTTCCCTCCTTTTTCATCATTACCCTCCCTCCAGAGTTTAATACCATCCCCAAATCTTCATCACCCAAAAGCAATCTATTCATATTCATGGGGAACTGTCTCTTTGGAGGGCCATCGGAAGATGATAGAATAATCAAAGTAATCAACTCCGCCGGCGGCATCATGGAGTTCTACGCTCCTGTCACAGCAGAATGCATCACCGACGAGTTCCCCGGCCACGGGATTTTCCGGGGAAACGATCTTTTCTGGAAACCCATTCCCCACACCGAGTTTCTGGTCGCCGGAAATTCCTACTACCTTCTGCCACTCGACAAGAGAAGAGGAATGAAGGTAGGACATGTCAGATCCAACAGCCTCCCGCAAAACACAGCAGCGCCGTACCGGATGTCCTTCGACAGCCGTAGGGTTTTCAAGAGGTCGTACACAGACGCATATTCATCAAGTTCCAGAAATAATGGATGTGGGTTTTGGAAGGTGAAGCTTGTGATAAGCCCTGAACAGCTGTTGGAGATACTGTCACAAGAAGGACGAACGCAGGAGTTGATCGAGAATGTCAGAACTGTGGCGAAATGTGGAAACGAAGCTGCGGTTTCATGTAATTCCTCTTCGGCGTTATCTGATCAGTGGAGTCTTTGCAGCAGTAGCAGAAATGGTTCCAAGAAAGATGTTGTATTAGAGATGTAATTAATTACTGGATTAATTAAAGTAACAGCCTTTTTTTTTTGTTCTTCATGTAGCTACTTAATTTGTCTGAACTCCTTTAAAGTTGTATGTATGATCGTATAATTATATATGGATTAACATATAACACGCGCGACTGTTCTTTATAGTACTTGATTTGTTTCAAAAAGCTAGCTGGTTGCTTGTAGAGTTGCCTAAAGTTACATGTGCATAATTGCTCGTGTTCTTCAACTCGTTACCATGGCTTCGCATGCATCAAGCCTTCAAGGTTGTGCTTGACATACCATTTCATCTACGGATACAACGAGGTAGAAAGGAAAGAAGTAGAAGTGAACATGGTTCGGGCCAAACCCGGGCAAAAGTCAGGTCCCAAAAAAAAAGCCTGAGCCGGAAAAAAGCCGATTCTGTCACAAAAAGCCGATGTTTCCTGTCAAGTGTGCTACGTTAGATTTTATATCGACATGCAGTCCTTTGGGTCTTGGATGTAACGTATATGGGCCTCAGTCCATAAGGAGCAACAGGCCAACAGCTATAAGGATGGCCATACGTGCCCTACTGGCCTACTCACATTGATTATTACACATGTATAGGAGCCCACTTTACTACTAACTAATTTATTTTTTTTAACAGTTTACTACACACTAATTTAAGAAGTCATTGCTGATTATTTCCACACCACACGATATATAAACAAAGATGTTATTTGAGTTAGAACCGGACCGAACCGACCTGAACCTGAATAACCCGAAAATCGAATAAGAATAAATGCATGAACCGAAAACTGAACCGATTAACCAATACGGGTTCGGTTCGGTTCGGGTATTAACTGATTCAGTTCATTTATTACCCGAATAACATGTACAAGATGATTAGATACCTAATATAACTAAAACAAACCGAATAAACCGTATTATGATTCTATAACCCGAATAACCCATATAATAGAATAATAATGTATTTTTATACGTCAACATAAAACATTCAAAGACTAACATAACACAATAACACATTGAAAGAATAGCATTTACATAGTAGATTAACATAATGAGAATTAATTGCTTACTTGAGTTTTTCTTGAGTTGGAGCCCAATTTTCCATGACTAGAAAAAGTAGAAATTCGTGAATCGTTAGAGGTAATAGGAATAGTCGATTTTTGAAAGTCTGAAACAGGAGGAAGGATCGACAGAAGTGATTTCGAGTTTGGAAACAGTTGAGAAGATTGGTCGATTTTGAAACGATGAGGACGAGCGTAGAGTCTTTTTTCCTGTTATGAACGATGAGAACATAAGTGTGAATCGTGATTTTGATTTTTGTCGATCAAAGAAAGGGGACGAGGAATGCTTATTCGGGTTGGGAATTTAGAACCGAATAAGCTCTTATTCGGATAACTCGAACCGAATAACCCGGGAACCGAATAAGCATAATATAGATACCCGAAACCCGAATCGAATTGCTTATTCAAGCCTAATTCGGTTCGGTTCGGTTTGGTTTTCAGTTCGGTTTGGGTTTTCGGGCCAAATTCTCATCCCTAGATATAAAGTATAACAAGCTAATAACAATCTTAAAAAACCATTTAGTGATGGTTTATTTTCAGAAAAGTCTAAATATTTTAGGAAATTTTTTTAATAAAGTCTTAATTTTTTTTAACAGAAAAGTTATGACCCATGTTTTGAAAACAGGACCGAACTGGCCGGTTCGACCGGTTCAACTGGGAACCGGTCCCGGATCCGGTTCTTAAAGGCCAAAAACTCGTTATTCATGTGAACCGGTAAAAACCGGTCCTGTTGAACTGATAAAACCGGTCAAAACCGGGAATTTTAAAAAAATATTTATTTATTTTTTATTTTTTTGTATTTTTTATATAACTAAAGTTAATAATAATGTAATTATGACATCATCCGGTTTTTCCGGTTTTTGAGACCAATCCGACCGGTTGAACCATCGAACCAGTAAGACGACCGGTTCAGTCTCCGGTCCGGTTATCAAAACCTTGGTTCCGACTATTTAACTTTTCGAATAGAAAAGTCGAAGAAACCGACTAATTTATTCACTTTAGCCTTCAACAAGTCATGAGACCTAATCGTTAATTTTTTCAAAATAATGAAACTTCTGCAGATTTTGTCAAAATTCGTATATAATGTATAAACATACTTTCTACATATTTATATCAATTTTTACGTATTTATGAAATTTTTTAATTTTTTATATGTATATGTTTACGTATTTTTTGTGTATTTTAAATGTATAAACGCATTTTTTTACATATATATATATATATATATATATATATATATATAATATATATATATATATATATATATATATATAAAGTAATTTACAAATTTTTTATGTAGTTTTATGTGTTATTTTTTTATGTATTAAGTATTTATATGTATTTTTACATATTTAGGTATTTTTTCAAGTTTTTATATAAATGCTTATGTATTTTTATTTATTTTAAATACATAAACGTATTTTTATTTATGTGTTTTTACGTATTATGTATTTTTTAAGTTTTTTATATAGATGTTTATGTATTTTTAATGTAGGGTTATTGTCACTGTAGCCCAACAATGTTTCGTATATTAGTTTAAATGGTCTCTCGTTATTTTTTTTGCCTTTGAAGGGTACAAACTTGTGTTTTACCTGTTAATTTCATACATTTACCCATTTTTGAAGGTTACATTGCCTTATCAACTGCCAACTAAGCATGTGAGTCAATAATGACTCAATGGTGAGTCGACTCATCGTTGCCACGTAAGCCAAGAGTTATTATGCTTATTTAGTCAACAATTTGAAGCTGATTATATTAATCTACCCCCTCCTCCATGAATAGAAGAAGCTTCACCTTCTTTAGCAGTTGCATGTCTGATATCCACAAATTATATACTAGAATTTCTTGAACCAAATCTACACAAAAATTAAAGTTACATTGAAGTGTTCTTGAAGATGAGTTCTTATCCGACAATAGCTCAGACCCACCCCTGAAATTATTGACTCCTATCTCCTACCTCTTTCCCCTTGTCTGCAAATCACTGGTAATATAATGAACAGTCTCGTCCCTTTCCCACCGATTCAAATGCCCCTAGTAACAAAACATAGATTCAGAGCCGCAAAACTATTAATTGGCCCCAAACTTCACACTTCAAGACTTCAATTTCATCTCTAGAGTCATTAATTTCAAAATCAGAACTCAACAATCGGTTAGGCCATGGAAAGAACTTCTTCAAACGTTTCACAGGATGATGATTTACAGAACGGAAACAGAGAGAAGAGAAGCATGGAGGACACAGAGTTGGAGTCGGTTGAGAGGTTATTCGAGAGTAGGAAGGTTTCGCCATGAAATAACCAGCTTACACTTCGTGCTTTCGTCTTGAGTTTTATTTTATGGATTCTGTTCACATGAATCGTTATGAAGCTTAATCTGATAGTCGGAACTATAGACTTCCAAACAAAGAACACGTCATTTCACAGCAGATCAAGGAGTAAGAGAACCAGAGCACCGTCAAATAACAACAAGTGGACATCAACACCACCCATATCTACCACTCCGATCTCTAAAACATCCAAAACGAAGAGAGAGAATTACGTTTCGACTACTTCTTCATCCTACAACACAACGTCGGAAACTGACGCCGTTAGGCACTGCACTCACTGCGCGTCGAAGAAGACGCTACAATGGAGAAAGGGCCTACGGTATGAGATACAAATTAGGTCGGTTGGTTCCGGAGTATCGTTCGATGGTGACCCTATGTTTGTGCTAACTCAACACTCAAATTCTCACCGAAAAGTAATAGAGCCCCGCCGGCAAAAGGAGGTGATGATAGGAGGCATGTCGAAATTGATAGGGTTTGTTAACACTCAACACTCAACGTCTCCACCGGACTGTTAGGGTTTGTTGACCATTTCAGTTGACCAAATGCCACGTGACATATGAAAATTAATGATTAGGAAAGGGTTCACCGGGTGACCCCTTCATATTTTTGATAATGACATTTAAAACGGTAAAACACAAGTACGTACCGCTAAAAGGAAAAAAAATCATGAGGGACCATTTAAACCAATATATGAAACATTGTTAGGCTACAGTGACAATAACTGTTTAATGTATAACCGTATTATTTTTATGTATTTATGTATTTTTTACTTTAAATCATCTTCACCATTTCATCCAATTCGCACAGCTTCTTCGAGCATGTCTAGATGGTTTTTCTACATAACCACATAGTTTAAGCTTTTCCCATTCGCTTATCTTGAAATTAAACATGAAATTAAAAACAAAATAATAATTTACAAGTTTTCTAATTAAACATCGAAAAGCTTTTCGCTTATAAGTTTTCGTATGTATATAAATTATTATTTTGTTTTTTAATTTTAAGATAAACGAATGGGATAAACTTAAAATATGTGGATGTGTAGGAAAATCATCTAGACATACTTGAAAAAGTTGTGCGAATTGGATGAAATGGTGAAGACGATTTGAAGTAAAAAAATACATAAATACGTAAAATAATACTGTAACGCCCTGTTTCGATTCGTTTCCTAATTTGGGGTGGTGATCAGGGATTGGGTATTAGCAGGATTAGGACCCTTGAAGAATTGAGATTTAGGCTCATTTGGAGGTGGATGATGTGATTTGGATGATCCGGGTATTCGGTTTGTGTTTTGAAGTCAAAGAGTATTTTGGTAATATATCAGCTCGGGCTTCTATGCAAAGTGGATGTTTGTTTGGGAAATGGTAAGGCAAGTACGAGTTGATTAAAGCGTAGAGCTTCTCTCTACCTTTTCATGGATATATTGATCGTCGGAATCGAATTTATAATGAAGAAGTTATGGCATTCGGAGTGTTTAAGGGTTTAAGAGGAAACCCTAGTACGCGGGGCATACTGATGAGAAGGGCATTACGCTGGGCGTAATGTGGTGTACGCTTAGCGTACTACGAGGGTTGGATCGGGGGTGCGAGACCTCGTACGCTGGGCGTACGAGGAGTACACGGGGCGTAC